TTATGCATGTCAGTCCTTCTTGCTGTTCATATATTTTTGAGAACAAAATGCAGGTCGAATTTTTTATCCGATTGAGATGAAATTTTCCTAACAATATTCGCTTGGCCCAAGGACGAACCCTGTTGAAATTGGCGGAGGATCGGTTCGAATTTAGATATAGCTCCCATATATATCTTAAAACGATTGTGCCCCACATGGCCAGTATTAGTCCAAATGACCTGCATTTTAGGCACATTCTACCGAATTCGGTCTAAAAGCAAGTACATCAAATTTGGTGAAAATCGGTTCGGATATAGCTATAGCTCCCATACATGTGTTTTATCCGATTTTGGGTTTAAAGTCCCTCACAAGCGTAATATGCATTCCACAGCAATGATCTTTGGTACCAAATATCAGATAAAGTTCGAAACAAGTGGCTAAAATTTTGTACAGATCGGTTCAGATTTGGATATAGCTCCCATATATATGTTCCATCGGATTAGTCCAAATGACCTGCATTTTAGGCACATTCTACCGAATTCGGCCTAAAAGCAAGTACATCAAATTTGGTGAAAGTCGGTTCGGATATAGCTATAGCTCCCATACATGTGTTTTATCCGATTTTGGGTTTTAAGTCCCTCACAGGCGTAATATGCACCCTACAACAATGATCTTTGATACCAGATATCAGGTACAGCTCAGAAATAAGTACCTAAAATTTTGTCACGATCAGTTCAGATTTGGATATAGCTCCCATACAAATATCTTTATCCGATTTTAGGTTTATTGTGCACCAAATGGACTGAATTTGGTACTTCCGACGGAATTCATCTTAGAAACATTTGGTGAAAATCGGTTCAGATATAGCTATAGCTACCATATATATGTTTTATCGATTTCCCCTCCTGTTGGGTGCCAAATGTACATTTTGAAGGTTAAATGGTTTCAGAAATATTAAAGCTCGATTTGATATTTCTATTATGCATTCATGTTTTTTTTTTGTGGAATTTCCCTAATATAACCATTTTGTGAAAATAATTACAATATAAAGTATTTTTGGCAGAATAAGATGTATTTACACTGATACCAGAATTTCTGTCAATAGACATTTTTTGAGTTTCTTTCCCAATGACAAACAACTTCGGCACGACATTGGGCGCCACTGTTACACGCTGTGTCTGGCCTGCAATTGATTTTTGGCATTTCTAATTAGATTTGATCATTTTAACAATCTCTAATAATTCAAAGCAAATTGAAATAAGTCGACCACGATTACTTTCGTTTCACTTCTTCTCTTACTTTATGTAGTTTTCCCTATTGGATTTATTACAACAAATAATAAAGTTCATTGCACTTGAATTGCTAATTGACTTTAATGGAAATGTTGTATTGAACAACAATAACAACAAAAGCAAAGCAAAAAAACGACAACAACAATAATAGCAATTTTATGGAAAAATGTATTCGAAAAAATAAAGAGAGCTTTAATGTATTGAGCTTAGGCACAATATGGCTAGCGACATTAACATTATAATCACCGCCATCATCAAACATCATCGTCATCGGGTGATAGTCGGTGACATACACCATCAATAATAGTAGTACTTCAATGTAACAACACTCCCTTTATCAGCCAACGATAATGGCATGGAGTCGAAATAAACCGTTTGTTTATGGCTGAAATTTCGCCACACAGCTTAACAAATGCAAAAATTCATATGTTTTGTTTATTTGTTTTTATTTTATTCATGCGATAAAAACAAACAAAGTTACTGCGAATGAACAAACCAACGAACACAAAAATTTACTTCCCCAATTTACACACCTTTTTCGTTGCTTCTTCATGTGTTTCGGTTTTTTGTTTTTCTTTGTGTGTAATATTTATTTTATTGTTGTTTTTATCATGCACAAAAAATGGGGAAAAATTAATATATTTTTTTCATAACAAAAAAAAAAAAAAAACAATTGATTGTGAAAAATGAATCATTAACATGCAATTTCCATGGAAAGTGTAATGAAGGGTAAGATAAAATTTCGATTTTCCAAAAACAAAAAAAAAAAAATAATAATAATAACAATAAAATAAAAAAATGTATATGTATTTGTTGAACTGCAGTTGTGGTATTCATACCCAGTAAAGTTTTTACTTCCTAAGATGCTGGTCACTCACCAGTGCAAGCAAAGGCTGTATGCACTGCATTTTTTATGCTTCGGGTACTGAAAAGCATTAAGGTCACTTGAATCGATTTCCTGACTGATTTTCCCTCAAACTTCTTCACATTTTACACTTTTGGTAAATAAAGTTAAGCTAAAAAATATATTTTTTTATGAGAAAATACTTTGCAATGTGTCTCATAAGGCCACCGATTACTTTTATATTTATGATCTTTTCCGATTTAATTCCATTCCAAGATACTCTGAAGAATAGATTTTATTTTTAACATATATTGAAAGTACATCAGAGTAAAAAAATTTTTTATTTTATTTTTTTTGTAATTAGAACTTCAATACCGCGGAGCTTTTTAAGACATATATAGACCAAAAGTAAATATTTTCATAGCTCAGATTTGCTCGTTTTTACTCGCCAGCGGACATGTTCGAGGAGTACGAATTGTGTATCTATTACTTTATATGGGAGTGCTCGCGAGATAATTCGGTTTGAAAAAATAAAAGTGTGAGTTAAAATGCTCGAAAAAGAATAAGAGTAAAATTGAGTAAAACAATTAATTGTCACTGATTGGCGGTGGGTTGAAAATCCAAAAGAGTATTCGGCAAGAGTAGAACTTGCACGGATTTTACTCTAGCTCGAAAACTAATAAAACTTATCCGCTCCTATTTGAGTGACATAGAAAAATAGAGCATATTCGCTTTCTTGCTCGTAGGAGTACTCTCGCTCGAACTAGTGCGAGTTTTAGCCTTTACTTGAACTCAAGTTATCATTTCGGGCTTATATTACATTGACGTACAATTAACTTGAAATCGGATAAATACATATATGGGAGCTATATCCAAATCTGATACGATCTCGATAAAATTTATCAAAGGTATTTCTGAGCCGTATTTTATATATTTCCCCGAATATCATTGTTGCGGAGTGCATATTACCGCTGCGGAGTATAAAAATAACAAATCGGATGAACAATATATATGGGAGCTATAGCTATATCTGAATCGATCAAATTTGGAATACTTGTTTCCAGGCTTAATTTGGTCGTATGTGCAATATTCCATACCATTTGGACTGATGTTACACAATACCCTCACCATTTTGTAAGGAACTTGAAAAATTTCAAAAAAACTTCCGTAAACTACCACTTAAATGAAAACTGTTATATGGAGACTATACGAAGACCTGAACCGTGCTTACGAAATTTTTTGTCATAAGCTGTATTGCCCAGTACGAACTTCAAATACCAAATTTGAAACAATTCCGGTGAATAATGTCGCACAAATCATTAAAATAACGTGTATCGGTCATATGGGAGCCGAATACAAAACTTTTTGTCATAGGCTGTAGCACACCTTACGAACTTCAAATACGAAATTTGCAATAATTCCGGTAAATAATGTCGCTAAAATACCGAATATCGGGAGGTACCATTATATGGGGGCTATACGAAGACGTGGACCTGCATACAAAAATTTTTGTCATAAGCTGTAGTACCCATTACGAACGTAAAATATGAAATTTGAAATAATTCCGGTAAATACTATCGCTAAAATCATGAAAATACTGAATATCGGGAGGTACCGTTTTATGCGGGCTATACGAAGACGTGGATATGCGTACAAAATTTTTTTTCATAGGTTGTAGCACCCATTACGAACTTCAAATACGAAATTTGAAATAATTCCGGTAAATAATGTCGCTAAAATCATGAAAATACCGAATATCGGGAGGTACCGTTATATAGGGGCTATACGAAGACGTGGACCTGCATACGAAATATTTTTCCATAGGTTGTTATAACCATTAAAATCTCCCAATTCGAAATTTGAAACGATTCCGGTAGTTAATGTCGCTGAAATCATGAAAATACCGAATATCGGGAGGTACCTTTGTATGGGGGCTATACGAAAACGTGGACCGACATGGTCCATTTACGAACTTAACCTGCCTACTGCTAAACTATGCATGTATGCTAAATTTTAGCCTTTTATCTCAATTCGTTCGAAAGATAGCGTGATTACAACAGACAGATGGACAGACAGACCGACGGACATAGCCAGATCGTCTTAGAATTTTACGCTGATCCAGAATATATATACTTTGTAGGGTCTATTATTAATATTTCGAGGAGTTACAAACGTAATAACAAAGTTAGTATACCCTCTATAGCATGGTGAAGGGTATAAAAATTACGTTGGAAAATGTGAAACTTATAATGTTTACCAAAATTATGATTATTAATAATATTATATAAAATAAAATGTTTGATGTGGGCAGCTAAAAAAATCCGCTTATTTCTTCGGGTGTACATAAGTTTTTTCAGTTTTTTTGCTTATATTACAAAGCCCTTTCTCTCAATGAACTCAACAATTTCTTGGCAAACAACATATCGATTTGGTATGGATTGAAGCGGATAAAATCGATTTGGCAACAAAAACATTTTCTACATTGCCTATGTATTTTTTCATCTATGTGTCGGTTTACAAGCAATGCGTGTTTGAAATCCTAAGCAATAACAAGAAAAAAATAAATTAACCTTTATTTAGAAATACAAACAAATGTAGGCTTAAAATTGTAAAAACAAAAGAAAATAGAAAGGGCCTATTTTCTGTTTTAAACCAAGACACACACAACAAGACAGCTAAAACAAGAAAAAGGAAAGGTCCAGAGTTACCTTTCGCATTACGTTGTACTTTTAGTTTTAATTGAAATAATATAGTTCACTTTTTTCGTATTTGTATTTGTGTATGTATTTGTATTAGATGTTGTTGTTGTTTTTCCCCAACTTATACAATTTCCACTAATTTTCCCATTCTATTTTCTGTTTCTCTTCCAATCCATTTATTTGCAGATTTATTAGCCGCCTGGGAGGATTTATTAGGTTGGAGCGAAAATGCAGCCGCTGCTCGTAAAATGCAAGAAGACATGATTGTCTTGAAGCATGCTCTAAATCGTTTGGGCAATAAATCATCATATGAACAGTTAGACACAGAACCATCCATTCAAATTGCCATCGAAGCTCTGAAGGTAAGATCCACTTAACTTATGAAGTAGTTCAATCAAAGCGGACGGAAAAGCAAAACAAAAGGAAACAGAACAAACAAACTTAACAGCAAATTACAGTAATTGGAACATGAGGGAATTTTTGCAATAAAAATGTGCGGAGTAGTTATTGATTGGAGCGGTAGTGCGATATTCAGAAATAGGTTTTGCGAAAATAAACAATTAAATAATAAAGTGGCTAGATACGAATACCATGATGCTATTTTGAAGCTAGAATTCTAAAGAAACAATGAGGAGTATTTCTTAAAAGCTTGAAAGTCATTAGTTTCATCTTCGTGGCCTTGGTATTTGAATACTATTTTCTAGACAAGTCTAATAAATTAATAAAGATCTACAATGAATGGTCTAATTAGTTCCATATTTTGAAGACTGATAGCATGCTCTTACTGGGTGGGATAAAAAAATCTACAACAAAGTCAAACGTCATAATTGTTTACATTTTTTTTTAAATTTTATTGAATGAAAGCAAAAAATGTTGGAAATTTCATCAAATTTTAGAATAAGTTTAGATTTGTTCGAATTGGTCACCTTTTGCACGAATTATGGCCTTCAAAAGGCCAATGAAATCGTCACACGCTGCCCGAATGTTGCTCTGCGGTATTTTGGCTCATTCTCGGGAAGCGCTTGCTTGAGGTGATCGACACTTTGGTAAATTTTAGTTCTAACCTTGCTTTCCAAAATACTCCAGACACAATAGTCCAACGGATTGGTATCCGGAGATTTTGGTGGCCATTGTGCGCTGGAAATGAAACGAGGAACCTCATTTTGTAACCATTCTTGGGTGTCGCGTGCTGAGTGCAATGGTGCTGAGTACTGTTGGAATGTCCAAGGGCTGCGGGCAAAATGTTTGCGTGCCCAAGGCTTTAATACACCCTTCAGAATAATTTCGCAATAATATTCGGCATTTATTCTGATGCCACGGTCAATTAATACGAGCGGAGAGCGACCATTGGCTGTTATGGCGGCCCACATCACCTCACCGTGCCCGGCGCTTAAGTTCTGGTGGCCAACCGAAGGTGCACATATTCAAGGATTATTTTGTTCGTTTACAAACTGCTGCACAACGATTGTTTTCTCATCGGACAAAACCAAATTCGGCAGTTCACCTCTTTCGGCCAAGCGAAGCAGCTCTTTAGCTCTTTTGAGTCTATTTACTTTCTGTTGCGGTGTAAGTTCTTGCACTTTTTGGATTTCAATGGCTTTACCCCGAGCTCATTTTTCAATATTTGCCGAATGGAATAATGCGATATGTTCAGCTCACGAGCCATTTCCATTTTCGGCCACTGCGACGCGGGTTTCGATCAAGTCGTTTCTTTACTTTTCGAACCATTTCTGCTGATCCGTCCATTTTCTTGACGTCGGGCTAAGCGATGGCTCTTTTGAGTCTATTTTCTTTCTGTTGCGGTGTAAGTTCTTTCACTTTTTGGAATTTCAATGGCTTTACCCCGAGTTCATTTTTTAATAATTGCCGAATGGAATATCGCGATATGTTTAGCTCACGAGCCATTTTTCGGCCACTGTGACGCGGGTTTCGATCAACCATTTTTGAATCATTGCTGCTGATGTTGCTGTTTTTTCCGCCCACTTCCTTGACGTCGGGCTACCCGATGGTACGAGACACAAAAGAATTATTCACATTTAAATGCTAGAGTGCTCTAACGATAGCCACTTGTGGTTTTCCAGCCAAATATAAAGAAATCACACCATCACGCTTGAATTCCATCACGAAAAATTTTTTTTCTGGAAAATTTGCACCAAAATGCTTTTTTATGCTTGTAAACAATATAATGAGCTGTCACTCAAAAATTTTAACAGCTGTCGGACGAGTGGTTTTGAAATGGCAGCAGTCTGAAGTTGGTTGCAGTTTTTTTCATCTCACCCTGTAATTCTCACACCTGCCACCAATAGGGATCCTAATACTAAAACATCGAAATTCTAAATCCATCCTTTCCCTCTAAACCTTAGTGTTCCAAGTTAAGTACCATTTAGTACAGTTTGCTCACTTAGTAAACATTTTCAAAACCACCTTTAATTTTAAGTTTTTAGCCATTCACATAGTACCAAATGGTACCATTTTAGAAGTTTAGTAACATTTTAGAACTTTTCGTAACCTTAATGTTCAAATTCCCAAAACCCTTTAGTACATCTATTCTGCCCTCCATCAGTGCTTCTCATTCCAAATTTCAGAATTTTAGCTCATTTCGTTTTTTCCAACAAAAGAAATTCAATTTTCTGAACATTTTAGTACTCTTCGTAACCTTTTAGTATGAATTTCCAAACCCAGTCCTATCACACGCCAAGATTAAACCTAGTGCAAAATTTCAAGAATCTAGCTTCAGTCGTTTCGTCTGGGCTTTAATTCTCGGTCAGTCAGACAGTCAGTTATGTTACTACTCCATTATACGACGGACTTATACGGATTTACGAACATCCATTTGAAATAAAATTCAGTATTGTCATTTAACCTTTTCTTACATTTCTTTTCATCCCAACAGAATGAGAAAACCCAATTGCAGACATATCGTACACATATGTTAAAATTGAATGCCTCCGTCCACAGTTGGTTGACAAAACAGGAGCGACGTTTACAAAACGCAGTTGTCGAACAACAATTGAAAGAAGCCGCTGCCAACTTGGGTAGCATTGAACTGTTGGAGGAAAAAGACGAAATTGAGTCCGAACACAAACAGAAGATCGGCGGCATTACAGCATCCTCATCCACTGTCACAGAACAAACAGAACCTGATAGTACAACAACAGCAACAACTGCAACAAAATCAACAATAGCAGTTACAACAAACAAAACAACCATGATAACTGTCACCGATAGTAATGGCAATCAAGTTGAAACCCACACCACTGCCTCGGGAATGATGGCATCATCCAGCAGTGTCGGTACCTGTACAACAACTCAAACAATTGCCAATGAAAAGAATTGGGATTTACAATCCTTGATAACATCGGAAAATGAATTCCACAAACATTTAAAAGATGAAGTAAGCGATATGTACACAGCCTGGGATGAAGCGGATTCAAGGTATCAAAGACTGATTTCTTGTAAAAACATTTATCTCATCTCATTATTTTTTTTTCTCAACAGAATAAATTCACAATTGGAAGTACTAACCTCTTCCTTGACGGCATGGCGTCAATTGGAGTGTGGCCTCTCGGAATTCCAATTGGCTTTGGGTCAAGATCGTGGTACTCTGCAAGGTTTGGAGGGTGCATTAAAAACTGGTCAAGCCACTCCAGGGGAATTGGCCCAAAACGTTAAACTGGTGGCTAAACTTTTGTCCGAAAAAGTCAACGTCAGCCAGGAACAGGTAATTATATTCTGCTGTGCCCCTTTCCATTTATTGTTTAATTAATGAAAACTCTTTCTCTCCACTTTACAGTTAACGGCCGTCCAAGATTACTTGGATCCCAACCATGTACTTTACATTGCGAAATTTACCGCATCCAACGGTTCTCTTTCGGATTCGGGCATTTCAGATGGTGGTGCCACCTCTGATGGAGGCCTATCAGAACGTGAACGCCGCCTGGGTGTCCTGAGACGTTTGGCCAAACAATTGGAATCTGCCTTGGCTCCTGGCAGCGAGGCCATGAAATCAATTGCAGCTCGCATGGAATCTGCCGAAAATGACCTAAAGAGTCTTCAGAATACTTGCAGAGATTTAATTGTGAGAACAGCAGCTTCTCACCAATGCAAGAAACAACAAGCCCAGGACCATGTGACCGCAGAGAAGAAAGATCAAACTGATTCTACAACAGCACAACAATTGAAACATGCCAATGGCTGCCTTAAGGGACGACACCAAAACGGCAACGGTCATTTGAATGGCTTGGAAGGTAAAATCCAAGTGACTGCTATTGGTGATGGTGTTATGTCGTCAAACTCGGCAGTGAGTAGACGTAAACGTAAAAATCGCCGTAGTTCGGCCACTGCTCCCACAAATGCCGTTGTTTCGGCTGATATGGCCCAAAGCAATGCCTTGCAAATGACCTCCACCACACCCGATGGTGATGATGATCCCTCCGATGATAATTCCAATTACGATTTGGATTCTTCCGACGATGAATTGAATTCCAAATCAAAACGTGGCTGGGCCTGGCGTATAGCTCGTGTGGCAGTACCAATGCAGTTGGCCTTGTTCACGGTGTTCTGTGCCGCCTGTCTTATGCAGCCAAATTGTTGTGACAACATTAACAACTTGTCCATGAGTTTTACACCACAATTGCGTTACGTACGAGGACCTCCACCCATTTGAAGGGTTTATGCAGCGCCACTGGCAGCAAAGGTCATACCCGATTGTACCCTTTGATTTGCATGCATTACTAAGGTCTCTATAAGGTTAGGGATTATGTTAAGCTTAAGGTCCCTTGTATAAGGAATCCCACGGATTCATTCCACCACGTATAGGGCATTCAGACTATCAGACAAATCACATTTGAGACAGAACAGAGATTAAGCGCTGCAACAGCAGTAAAGAACAACATCAACAACACCAGATAAAGGATGAGGGGCTATTTTTGCGTGATATCCGCAAAAAATATGAGAGCCCAGCCCAAACGCGTCTCTACGTATTTGTTTTTTAGATATGTATCTTAAATAATAATCAAGGTTATGATAGATTTTAGAGAGTTAAAACAAAAGAACCGCAGGCGCGTTCAAGCTAATAACAAACACAAGAGCAGGAGAACATTTTTACGCAGCAGCAGCAACAGAAGTTATAAGCAGTTTATAAGATGCAGGTTTTAAGAAACAGTTTTAGGAATATATATTTTTTTAATGAAATGAGAATTTAAATTTTTTTGTTTTTGTGTTTAATGTTTAGAGCAACTAAAATAAAAGCTATAATTAAGCTATTTTATTAAATCGTGAAGAATTGAAGAAATAGAAGAGGAGGTATTGCTGCCTCACAGACTAGGCCAGCTTAGAATCATTTTGAAAGAAGCTTAAAAGTGTTGAAGAACACCATTAACAGCTTAGGATGGTTGATGGCTTTAAGCCTTCCGAACCTAAGCTTGCATACCAAATTTCGCAAGAGCAAGCTCCACATGGAGAAAAGTAAGACAGACATTTTGGAGAACCGCAAATCGTATTTCAATCATTTGCGGATTTTTACTTGAAACAACATTCAGTTTTAGAAATCTTTTGTGGATTCTATTCTTTTTTTTTAACGCAGCCCTCTACACATAGTTATGGCATATGTTACTTTAGTTTATTTTCAAATATTAAAAACAAAATACATATATTTATCGTAATTTACGTTCTTAAATTCTTCAATGGAACTATTGCTTTCACGTTCTTCTACTTTGTTTAATAGATTTCTAGTTCTTTAATTGAGGTTTCTAAAGTTATTAGTGTATTTTCTATATTTGTTAATAACTTGTGTACGGATTAACTATTCAACAAACAGTTATCCTTTTTGTATAGAAGAAATTTTCATTTTACTCTTAAGTATTCTAAAACACATCCAATCCAATCTTTTGTATATTATTTATGTGGCCCTTATCGCTTTCTATTTCTTTTTTTTTTAGTTTAACTATCGTCTTCTTTAAATCTAATTCGTAACGTTACTATAAATTCATCTATATTATATCCCTATATAAGTTTAAAAACAACAAAAAGTATAAAAACTACAAAATATTTCAAAAAATCATTTTAATTTTAAATAAAACAAACAAACTGGAAATCAATTTTGAAATGTCTTTTATTAAGGGAATGGGAATCTGAGCACCTATTTAGTAATCAGTTGCTTACATTGCAGTACCAGATGTTAGGTGTTATCGTGGGACTCACCTTAACCATTTGAAATAGAGGGTTTCAGTTTTACATTTTTATAAACAGTGAAGACTTGACGAAAAGTTGGCAAAATATTCGAAAATTTTTTCGATTTGGGTAAAATTTTTATGGGCCGAAATATTAAAAAATTAACTTTTATGCAAATCATAAGACCACGACAAATGTACACTGAATATGATGTGCCATCCTAATATTTATAAAAGGAGAAGAAAATGAGTTATTTTTATGCCCTCCACCATACTATGAAGGGTATATTGACTTTGTCATTCCGTTTGTAACTCTTCGAAATACTCATGTCAGACCCAACAAAGTATATATATTCTTGATCAGCGTAAAATTCTATGTCCGTCTGTCTGTTATAATCACGCATCTTTCGAACGAATTGAGATAGAAGGCTAAAATTTTGCACATATGTTTATTTTGCCAGTATGGTTAAATGGGCCATGTAGGTTCAAGTTTTCATATAGCCCCCATATAAAGGTCACCTGAATTGTTTCAAATTTGGTATTTGAAGTTCGAAATGGATACTACAGCCTAATACAGAAAATTGTCTGTGCAGGTCTACGTCTTCGTATAGCCCCGATATAACGGTACCTTCATATATTCGGCATTTTGATGATTTTAGCGACATTATGCACCGGAATTGTTTCAATTGAAGTTCGAAATGGATACTACGTCTTCGTATAGCCCCGATATAACGGTACCTCCCTATATTCGGCATTTTGATAATTTTAGCGACATTATTCGCCGGAATTGTTTCAAATTACGTCTTTAGAGTTCGTAATGGGAACTACAGTCTGTGACAGAAAATTGTCTAGGTCTTCGTATAGACCCCATATATCAATATCTCCCTATATTCGGTATTATGTCGATTTTAGGTACAATACTCACCGAATTGTTTGAGATGTCGTATTTGAGGTTCGTAATAGATGCTACAGCCTGTGACAGAAAATTGTCTATGTAGGTCCAGGTCTTCGTATAGCTCCGATGTAACGGTACCTCCCTATATACGGCATTTTTATGAGTTTAGCTTCATTATTCAATGTTCATTTCAACTTTCGAATTTGAATATGGTAATGGCTCATGACAAACAAAACCTATTTAGGTCCACGTTGTATAGACCCTAATATAACGGATATATTCGGCTTTTTTAACGATTTAACAGATTTTTAACGCATTTTATTTTTTAAAAATCTCCAAATTCGTTCCAAATGGTGGAGGGTATTCACAGTTCGGCCCGGCCGAGCTTACTGCTTTTTAACTTGTTACGACTTAAAAATGGTATCGCTGAAGGTGTTCATTATGAAATTCACATTTTTTACACAACTTTCTTTCTCGCCCATTTTCTATTTTTTTATACCCCCACGTAAGGGTATTATGTCTTTGTGCATTTGTTTGTAACATGGAGAAGGAAGCGATATGGACCGATAATTACTTTTGAGGATCTTCATAGAATCAGTTTCTGAGTTGACTTATGCGTCTGTCCATGTATTTTTGTGAACAAAATGCAGGCCGCATTTATTATCCGATTGAGATAAAATATTTCAAAAAATATTTGTTTGGCCAAAACGGACCCTACTGAAATTGGTGAGAATCGGATCAGATTTAGATATAGCTCCCATATATATCTTCAAACGATTTTGAATTATTTTGTGTACCAAATGGCCAAAATTTTGGTACATCCGACCGAATTCAGTCTAGAAGCAAGTACATTGAATTCGGAGAGAATCGGTTCAGATATAGCTATAGCTCCCATGTATATGTTTCATCCGGTTTGGTGTTTAAGTACCTCACATTAGTAATATGCATTCGACAACAATGATATTTGGTACTATATATCTCATAGAGCTCGGCAATACCTATGCCAAACTTTATCAAGTTCGGTTCAGATTTGGATATAGCTCCCATATACAGGGTGAGATAAAAAACTGCAACAAAGTTAAACGGAAAAATATTTACATTTATTTTTTAAATTTTATTGAACGGAAGCAAAAATGTCAGAAATAGCATCAAATTTTAGAATAAGTTTAGATTTGTTCGAATTGGTCACCAAACGGCCAATGAAGCCGTCACTCGCTGCCCGAATGTTGCTCTGCGGTATTTTGGCCCATTCCCGGCGAATCGCTTGCTTGAGGTGATCGACACTTTGGTATTATTAGTACCAACCTTTCTTTCCCAAATACCCCAGACACAATAGTCCAACGGATAGGTATCCGGAGATTTGGTGGCCATTGTGCGCTGGAAATGAAGCGAGGAAACTCATTTTGTAACCATTCTTGGGTGGCGCGTGCTGAGTGTGAAGGTGCTGAGTCCTTTTGGAATGTCCAAGGTCTGCTGCCAAGGCTTTAATACACCCTCCAGAATATTTTCGGAATAATATTCGGTATTTATTCTGATGCCACGGTCGATTAATACGAGCGGAGAGCGACCTTCAGCTGTTTACAAACTACGGGACAACGAATGTTTTCTCATCGGAGAAAACCAAATTCGGCAGCTCACCACTTTCGGCCCAGCCAAGCTCTTTTCTATTTTCTTTCTGTTGCGGTGTAAGTTCTTGCATTTTTTGGAATTTCAATGGCTTTACTGTTCAGCTCACGAGACACAAAAGATTTTTTCACATTTAAATGCTGGGGTTATCTAACGATAGCCACTTGCGGTTTTCCAGCCAAATATAAAGAAATCACACTATCGCGCTTGAATTCCATCACGAATATTTTTTTTTTCTGGAAAATTCTCACCAAAATGCTTTTGTACGCTTGTAAACAATAGAATGAGCTGTCACTGGAATAATTTTAACAACTGTCGGGCGAGTGACTTGGAAATGACAGAACTTTTCGCATGGATTTCCTTGTTTAATGGCAGGTCCGCATACCATGAATAACCCCCCTACCCAACAGGTCTGTTACGTTATTTTGCCAAATCTACAAATTGCTGTCCACACCAAGACAAACTCTCATACCAATTTTTCAGGTTTATATTTCCACGGGTTTCTTTTTTACCCATATAATGTGCATTTTGTACGCTTTTAGTAGGATTTAGCAAAAACTTAACGAAACTACATACAAAAATTTATTTATACAATGTTTCGTACCTTTTGGTGCTTTTCCTACCCATCAATTTCGAATAGCCAAAAACCTGGTCTAATCGAACTCTTTCGAGTCATATTTTGATCTGAAATATATTTACTCCAATATCATACATTTTTATACCCTCAACCATACATACCCTCAGTCCGTCCGTCTGTTGTTTTTTTAAGGGAATTGTCTGAAATTCTACACAAGGAGTCGTTTTTGAGCACTTTATTCCCTGAAAGAGAATTGTCTATATAGGCCCACGATATCGTATAGCCCCCACATAACGGTACACCCCGATATTCGGTATTTTGATGATTTTAGCCACATTTTTTAAGGGAATTGTCTGAAACTCTACACAATGAGTCCTTTGTGAGCACTTTACCCCCTGAAAGAGAATTGTCTATATAGGTGCACGATATCGTATAGCCCCAAAAATAACGGTACCCTAGTATTCGGTATTTTGATGATTTTAGCCACATTTTTCAATGGAATTGTTTGAAATTTCACAAAAGGAGTTCATTGTGAGCACTTTACCCCCTGAATTAGAATTGTCCGTATAGGTCCACGATATCGTATAGCCCCATGTAACGGCACCTCTCGATATTCGGTATTTTGATGATTTAGCCACATTTTGCAACTGAATTGTCTGAAATTTCACACAAGGAGTTCCTTGTGAGCACTTTACCCCTTGAAAGAGAATTGTCTGTATAGGTCCACGATATCGCATAGCCCCATGTAACGGGACCCCCCGATATTCGGTATTTTGATGATTTTAGCCACATTTTTCAATGGAATTGTCTGAAATTCCACACAAGAAATTCATTGTGAGTACTTTACCCCCAGACATAGATTTGTCTATATAGGTCCACAATATCGTATATCCCCCCAATATATCGACACCTTACAATATTGAGTATTTTTAAGATTTTAACAGAATATTTAATGGATTTTATTTATTTATTTTTTTTTTTTTTTGAACATTTCCTAATTCGTTCCAAATGGTGGAGGGTATTCAGCCCGACCGAACTTACTGCTTTTTTTACTTGTTTCTAATTTTGTCCCTTCAAGCAAAAATATGCCAATATCAATTGGTATTTTTTGCAACGAATTAAGTACGTTGCAAATATATATTGCACCGATATCTAATTTTGAAACACTCACAACAAACATTTTTGGCATTTACAATGAAGTTAAACAAATAACCATTAATTGCTCATTATTTATTAGAATTCTAGAATTCGAATCCATATTATAGGCAATCTAATAGGCAAATTGTATAATAAAGTCATTTACAATATAAAATATACCTACAAATCTAAATGTATCGAATTTGTATTTCGGAATTGTCAAGTGCAACAGCGAAGAATATGGATCAAGTGGTATTAACATTTTGTGTTATATTCATGGCTATGCATCTAATAAATTGTAAAGTAAGTGATTGATATTTTCCTATTAACATCTTTTCTAATGAATTTTAACACCTTTAACAGCGCAATTTTACAGTGGAAATGGTAGATGCCAAAATGACAGTCTTTGATCAGGATTTGCTGAAATCATATCATTGTATCATTTACGGTAACAAGGTGCTCTACATTGACTTTGTTACCAAGAAGAATGTCCAGGATTTCGACATGAAAATGACAATGTTTGCGCTAAAGCAAAGCAATCATCAGGTGAATGTCCTCAACATAACATTGCCGGGATGTAAGACCCTGAGTCAAACGCAAAGGGCAAATCTATTAAAAATCGTAGCTCGAGAAGTTTTTCGTGTCGCTAATGTGCCAAAGAAATGTCCACTCTTAAAGGTAAGCAAGTCTCGAATAATAAACGCCTCAAACATATTTACGTTTCAAAATTCATTGCAAGAGTTCGAGTTGGACCTTTTTATACCCTCCACCATAGTATGGAGGGTATATTAAGTTTGTCATTCCGTTTCTAACACCTGAAAATATACATTGTAGACCCCACATCAGCATAAAATTCGTCTGTCCGTCTGTGCAAATCACTCTAGTTTCCGAACGAAATGAAATAGGTTGACAAAATTTTACTCAAATGTATATTATGTCTGCAGGACTTTTGGTATTAAAAATGGGCCATGTAGGTCCACGTTTTGATATAGACTCCAATATAATTACCTCCTTATTTTCGATATTGTGGGGATTTAAGCGACATTATTAACCGGAATTGTTTCGAATTTATTATTTGAAATTCGTAATAAATACTACAACCTAAGACAGAAAATTGTCTGCGGAGGTTCACGTCTTCGTATAGCCCCCATATAACGGTACCTCCGGACTTTCGGTATTTTAATGATTTAAGCGGTATTATTCACCGGAATTGTTTCAAATTTGGCATTTGAAGTTCGTAATGGATACTACAGCCTAAGACAGAAAATTGTCTGTGCAGGTCCACGCCTTCGTGTAGCCTCCATATAACAGCACATCCCGATATTCGGTATTTTGATGATTTTAGCGACATCATTCACCGGAAATGTTTCAAATTTGGTATTTGAAGTTCGTAATGGATACTACAGACTATGACAGAAAATTATCTGTGCAGGTTCACGGTTTGGTATAGCCCCCATATAATGGTACCTCCCTATGTTCGGTATTTTGATGATTTTAGCTACAGTATTCACCGAATTTATTTTTCACGTTCGCATTTAAATATTGTAATGGTTTATGACAAAAGTTGCCTATGCAGGTCCACGTCGTCGTATACATACGGCTACGGAATTAATAAAACCATTGCACAATGTACGCACATTCAATTTGTCTGGCCAAAACTATTTTAACTTCTACATATGTAAACCAAAGGAACCAACAGTGATCTCAAGGTAATTTCAGAACTTCTGCTCTATTCCTTCACATCTAGTAACATTTAATACGCATATCCAAAAAAATCTACATCTCTCTTATCCTAGACACCAACAGCGATCCAAAATTAGTACAATTCAGTATGTTTTGAACAACTATAGTACAAATTTGCAAAACCTCCTCCATATCTCAATTCCAGATTCAAATTTCAGGATTCCAGCTCTATATATTCACTTTATACCAAATTTTGTAACATTTAGTGCATTTCGTGTAATTTTAGTACTCATTTCCAAATCCGTCCCATATCGCAATCCTAGCCACCAACAGTTATCGCAATTTAAAATTTCACGGGTTCAGTTCTATCCCTTAACCCAATACCACAATTAGTTTAATTTAGTATTTTTCCAATAACTATAGTACGCATTTCCAAGCCCACCGCCAAATCTTAACCTCAGATACCAAAAGTTATCTAAATATCAAATTTCAACACCAAACTTAGTAACATTTAGTACTTTTCGTACAAATATAGGGCGCATTTCCAAAACACCGCCAAATGTCAAACACAGATACCAACAGTGACATCTATTTCAAATTTCAGGATTCCAGTACAATGCTTCAAACCAAATTTTGTACTATTAAGTTCATTTCGTACAATTATCGTACACATTTTCAAAACAATCTTTATATCTCAAGCTCAAATGCCAACAGTGACCTTAATATCAGAGTTCCCGATTTTAGCTCTTTAATTTCTCTCACTACCAAATTTAGTACCATTTAGCACAATTATAGCATCAAATATATATATCAAATTTCAGAATTTTATCTCTGTCCCTTCACCCAATGCCAAATACATATATTAATATTTAGTACTTTTTGTACAATTATAGTACACATTTCCAAAACCATCTCCATACCTTAATTCCAGATACCAATAGAGAGACCAGATACCTTAATATCAAATTTGAGGATTCCAGCCTTATACCTTCACCCAATACCAAATGCCATTCAGTACTTTCATACAAATGTAGGACGCATTTCCAAACCACCGCCAAATCTCAAACACAGTTACCATCATTAATCTAAATATCCAATTACTGAATTTTATCTCTATCCCTTCACCCAATGCCAAATATAGTACCATTCAGTACTTTTCGTACAATTATAGTACATATTTATGAAACCACCTACATATGTCCAATCTACAAGCCACCCCAATACCAAATTGCAGATTTCAAGCACTGTCTGTCCACCCAATACCAACCAACCATATATTTAACACACACCAACCACCAACAGGGACCCTAATACATAATTTCAAAATTCCATCTTCACCCTAAGCCAAACTGTTCCAAATTTAGTATCAAATGTGTACTAACATTTCCAAAATCACCTTCATATATCAATCATTCTTGGTTCAGATACCAATTTTAAGTTTTTAGCTCTGTCCGTTTACATAGTGTTCTATCCTGCACTCCATCAATGGCTTTGGTTCCAAATTTCATCATAGCTCTTTCCGTTGGTCTTAGATCTTAGATCGAGTTCAGAGATGGGCCATATTGGTCTACTCCTTCTGGTACATACCCATGCCATGTCCGTCCGTCCAAGGTCGAAATATATTTCAAAACAAGTAAAAAAGCTATAATTTCGGCCGGGCCGAACTTTGAATACCCTCCACCATTTGGAACGAATTTGACGATAAAAAAATAAAATCCGTTCAAAATTCTCCTAAAATCTTAAAAATACCGAATGTAGCCGTTATATTAGGGTCTATACGACGACGTGGATCTGCATCAGCAAAATCATCAAAATAGCGAATATAGGAAGGTACTATTATATGGGGCTAAACTAAAACGAAGACCTGCACAGACAATTTTCTGTCATAGGCTGTAGTATCCATAACCAACTTCAAATACTAAATTTGAAACAATTCCGGTGAATAATGTCGCTAAAATGATTAAAAATACCAAATATCGGGAGGTACCGTTATATGGGGGCTATACGAAGACATGGACCTGCATTTTTGTCATAGGCTGTAGTATCCATTACAAACTTCAAACACGAAATTTGAAACATTTCCGGTAAATAATGTCGCTCAAATCACGAAAATACCGAAAATAGGGAGGTATTATTATATGGGGCTATATCTAAACATGGACCTGCACAGACAAGTTTCTGTCATAGGCTGTAGTACCCATTACGAACTTCAAATACCAAATTATGAAACGTTTCCGGTGAATAATGTCGCTAAAATCATCAAAGTACCGAATATCGGGAGTTACCGTTATATGGGGGCTATACCAACACGTGGACCTACATCACCCATTTTCAATACCAAAAGTCCTGCATACATAACACATATTTGAGTAAAATTTAATCAACCTATTTTATTTCGTTCAGTTATTTATTTCGTTCGTTATTGTAATGTCAGAATTAGTATCAAAACTATAGAAAATCAAACATCTTGTTGCATTTATTTTGAACAAATAATTGAAAACCGCGAAAACTGAATGAAAGGTCAACATTTCTTTTCAAAATCATGTTCTATATATCTCCAAAGGTTTATTTCGCTACAAAAACTGTAGATATTGTCGATTCATACGTCAAAATAAACATTTTGAAAACACCCGAATTTGAATATTTTGTGAACAATTTTTTGTTGTTGAAAAGAAAACAAATATATATAAACAAATATAGTTGACATATTAAGCCAAAAAAATTAAAAAATTAAAATCATATGGTATCAAAGCCCTACCTTGATTTTATTGTAGCATGCTCCATACTATGGTGGAGGGTATAATAAAAAAAAATGAAAAATACGGTTTTAAAATTATATGCTGTAGACCTTTTTAAAAATTTGCGTATTGCCTTAGCGGTTTAAATCAGTTAACATTGTTATGATATTATAACAATTGAGGTGTTTTCACAGGATTGTCATATTTTGACTCTGTCTTGTCCTACCTTTATACTTCTACGTCTTTGGTATATTGCGCAACTAATAATTCAATTTCTTCTTTTTTTCATTTTCAGGACACATTATATTCTATCAACAATTACACAATAAGAGATGATGATTTCCCAGTGTTTACACCCACAATAACATGGCAATTACATTTTGATATTTTGATTGCGAATCAAACGGTTGCGAAAGTAACAATCAATGGACGTGTTCGAAAATTATTATGAAGTCTAAACCTAGTATGACAATAAAATGCAATTATAATGGTTTCCAGCACCTTGTAATTTTTTTTTGGTTTTTGATAATTGGGATAAAAATGGCTAAATTTGAGTAGAATATTTTGATTCATACACGATTAATGCATATTAATTGTTTCATTTGTTTTATAATTAAGTGCTCTTATTTAGTTGATATTTTGTAACAATTGTTACAAAATTTTACTAAATGATGTGAAATCAAAAACAATTGTGGACAGTTGTGTGTTGAAAGTTAAAAAAAAGTTTTCGCGATGTTACAAGAAAAAAGTGCGAAAAAAATTTAATTTCAGATTTGTTTTTGTTTCGTTTGCCGATTTTATAATTGGCTACTAATATTTACTGCAGAGGAGGGTATACATCATTTGATACGTCCAAGGTGTTGTTCAATGAAACGGTGGTTTTAAACATCATGTCTCTTTGGACGACATCCGTTTCAAGATTTTTTGTGTCGATTCAGTCATGTCCGTCCCGATGCGTGTACGAGTGTCCCGAAGGAAGTTTTATATTTCATTCTATCTTGGTGCATTGTAATATTTTTGTCAAACTTGAATCGAGTTGAGAAATGGGCCACTCCAAATTAAAATTTTAAAATAAGTTTAGATTTGTTTGAATTGGTCACCTTTGGCACGAATTATGGCCTTCAAACGGCCAATGAAACCGTCACACGCTGCCCGAATGTTGCTCTGCGGTATTTTGAGCCATTCCTGGCGAAACGCTTGCTTGAGGTGATCTATACTTTGGATTTTTTTAGTGCCAACCTTGCTTTCAAAATACTCCAGACAAAATAGTCCAACGGATTGGTATCTGAAATTTTTTGGCTATTGTGCGCTGGAAATGAAGCGAGGAACCTCATTTTGTAACCATTCTTGGGTGGCGCGTGCTGAATGCAATGGCACTGAGTCCTGTTGGAATGTCCAAGGTCTGCGGCCAAAATATTTGCGTGCCCAAGGCTTTAATACACCCTCCAGAATATTTTCGCGATAATATTCGGCATTTAATCTGATTCCACGGTCGATTAATACTAGCGGAAGGCGACCATCGGCTGTTATGACGGCCCACACCATTACCATGGCCGTCGCTTGAGTTCTGGTGACCAACCGAAGGTGCACATTTTCATCTGACCTCTTTGGCGAATAAAAACACAATCATTTTGTTTGTTTACAAACTGCTGGACAACGAATGTTTTCTCATCGGCGAAAACCAATTTTGCAGTTCACCACTTTCGGCCAAGCGAAACAACTCTTTAGCTCTTTGAGTCTATTTTCTTTCTGTTGCGCTGTAAGTTCTTGCACATTTTGAAATTTCAATTTCAATGGCTTTTAAAATTTTGCACACATGTTTATTTTGCCAGTAGGCAGGTTAAGTTCGTAAATGGGTCATGTAGGTCCACGTTTTCATATAGCCCCCATATAACGGTACCTCCCGATATTCGGTATTTTGATGATTTTAGCGACATTATTTACCGGAATTGTTTCAAATTTTGTATTTGATGTTCGAAGTGGATACTACAGCCTAGGACAGAAAATTGTCTCTGCATGTCCACGTCTGCGTATAGCCCCCATATAACGGTACCACCCGATATTCGGTATTTTGATGATTTTAGCGACATTATTCACCGGAATTGTTTCAAATTTGGCATTTGAAGTTCGTAATGGATACTACAGTCTGTGACACAAAATTCTCTATGGAGGTCCAGGTCTTCGTATAGGCCCCATATATCAGTACCTCCCTATATTCGGTATTTTGGCGATTTTAGGTACAATACTCACCGAAATTGTTTGAGATCTCGTATTGAAGATCGTAATGGATCCTACAGCATGTGACAGAAAATTTTCTATGCAGGTCCAGGTCTTCGTATAGCTTCGATACAACACTACCTCCCTATGTACGGTATTTTGATGATGCTACATTATTCACCGTTTATAATATGGTAATGTCTTATAACAAACAATGCCTATGTAGGTCCACGTCGTATAGATCCCAATATAACGGCTATATTCGGTATTTTTAAGATTTTAACAGATTTTTTAGCGGACTATATTTTTTGGAAATTTCCAAATTCGTTCCAAATGTTGGAGGGCATTCAAAGTTCGGCCCGGTCGAACTTACTGCTTTTTAACCTGTTAATATTTGCCGAGTTATTATTTATTTACATTTAAATGCTGCTGGAAATTTTCGTATTTTCTTACATAAAAGTTATGGTCTATTTCACCCACTATGAACAGACGAACGGACATACATAGCTAGATCGACTCAGCTAGGAAGATCATTATATAGTTTCCTATGTCGGGGATCAATATTTCGACTCGTTACATCATTTTTGATCCAATCAAACTTATAATACCTCCAACACATAGTCTTTTAGGGTATAATTAAAAATGCTGACCTTTGACCCGAATACCTTTGACCCGAATACACATGAGATTTTTGACATTTTCATTTCAAAATTCAGCTCTGTTTACAATTTAAAATGTCTATTTCGACTGGACTATAGAGTCAAATACTAAACTTGTTTGAAATGGTGGTTGTTTTTCTTTTGCATTTAAATATCATAATTAATTATTGTGTGCAACCTGCAACTTCCCGACGACTTTACATGAGGATAGAAAATAAATAGGTTCTAACGCCATTATCTAGGAGTCTGCATGTACTCGAATGGCTTGCAGTCAGAGTTGGGACTAATAAAATGGCTTCAATTGGAATTTTCATATCTCTATTAAGTAAAGCCAGAAACCTTTTTCTCTTATTTTCTAACAGAATTGAAAGTCTTGTGGAGTATCTAAATTTAATGTAATAGATTACTATATGAAAGGGAAACTGTTACAATATTAAGGTTGGTGTATTTGCTAAAATATTGTGTAGACTATTGGCCGCTTGGGGGATTCATGATACAATTCATATATTGCTCACACTGGGCGGGTTGTCGCATTTCAAAATCATTAGTTTGGAACAATTAACATCGACCATGCTTACATTAAACGCAAAATTTATGTTAATTTCATTGATTAAGCAGGGATTCGTAATTTCTATTCGTCCAACGCATTTTAGTTATTTTAGAACAAAAGGGATAATGAAATTCTATTTACGAAAAAATTATACATGGGACCATAATGTGAAATTATTTTCATCCACATTTACCAAGAAATGTTAAAATTAACAAAACCTTTACAACTTTTTTGTTAAGATTAAGTGCCTACAAAGAAGTCCAAATAACGCTTTAAATCCGAATCGGTTATAAATCTTCTAAATCATTTCCATCGAGGATATTCTTATATAGTGTCAATTCCCAAAAGTTTGTTTTGCTTATTTTTAAGAAAAGATTAACTTGCATTCTACTTTGACTTTTTTCTTAGATGCTTCTTTTTATACCCTCCAGGAGGGTAACACCTCGAAATATACATTTTAGACCCCACAGAGTATATATATTCTTGATCAACATAAAATTCTATGTCCATTTAGCGATGTCAGTCCGTCTGTGGAAATCACCCTAGCTTCCGAAAGAAGTGAAGTAGGTTGATAAAATTTTACTCATATCTATATTATGTCTGCAGGACTTTTGGTATTGAAAATGGGCCATGTAGGTCCACGTTTTGGTATAGCCCTATATAACGGTACCTACCGATATTCGGTATTATGATGATTTTAACGACTTTATTAATCAGAATTGTTTCAAATTTGGCATTTGAAGTTCGAAATGGATATTACAGTCAAAGACAAGAAATTGTCTGTACAGGTCCACGTCTTCGTATAGCCCCTATATAACGGTACCTCTCGATATTCGGTACTTTGGGTCCACGTCTTCGTATAGCCCCCATACAACGGTACCTCCCGATACTCGATACTTTGTTGATTTTAGCGACATTATTCACCGGATTTGTTTCAAATTTGGTATTTGAAGTTCATAATGGATACTACAGCCTATGACAGAAAATTGTCTGTGCAGGTCCACGTCTTCGTATAGTCCCCATGTAACGGTGCCTCCTGATATTCAGCATTTTGATGATTTTAGCGATATTATACACCGGATTTGTTTTAAATTTGGTATTTGAAGTTCGTAACGGATACTACAGCCTAAGTCAGAAAATTGTCTGTGCAGGTCCACGTCTTCGTATAGCCACCATATAACGGTACCTCCCGATATTCGGTATTTTGATGATGGCTGCTACATTATTCACCGATTTTTTTAAGGTTTCGCATTTGAATATTTTAATGGCTTATAACAAAAGTTACCTATGTAGGTCCATGTCGTCGTACAGACCCTTATATTACAGCTAAGATTTGAACAGAATTTTTAACGGATTTTAAATGAAGAAAGGGTATTCAAAGTTCGACCCGGCCGAATATACAGTTTTTTTACTAGTTTTAATTATTTTTTGTCTCATCGGTTCGTAAATAGTCAGCGGTTCAGTTATTTCATTCTCCATAGATTTAATAAGTTGTCGCTTTCATGATCCCATAGATCTCTGCTGTGTACCTAGATGAATCCCGGTAAATAGTTAAATTCCGGTCTTTGCAGCTTATTACAAAACGTTATCATATGAAAGGACTTTCTTACTGTTTGAGAGATATCTTATGGGGCTGGGGGAGTGTGTACATTATGTATGTCGTAATTCGTAAAGTGAATGTGATGCTTTAAAAAGAATGTATTTTTATGACAATAATTATTAACTCTGTTGGTGTGACATTTAAAATTATTGTTTAAAATTTTACTATTTACGGATGCGTCCTTTTATAATCCCGGTAGCCTTCTCATCCCTATCAACACTTATTTCAATTTTCATTTGGAATTCTAGGCTCGGAAATATTGGTGGAAAGTCGTCTTCCCTTAGGGTGAAATTGTTGATAAAGTACTTTTTGTTCTGAAAGAAAAATTATAAACAAAAATATTTGTTAATTGACTCAAAGTTTCAACAAATGTATATATTTTTAGCTACATTAAAAAAAATTGCTCTGTTTCAGATACTGCAAGAATCTACTAATTTTTTTCTATTTTTTCGATATCATAAAGGGAAAATGGGTTATCGTAGTAAACATTTTTACATTCTTGCAGTTCTGGAAAAGACCAAATTAACAACAGCAATACTAAACATTGTATATAACGTTCTAAAATTATACTGATTGTGTATTTCTTAGAGTCTACGGAATTCAAAAGATTACGAATTTATAAAAACAATAAAGAACAAAAGTTGGGCGGGGAAGATTTTATGATACCCTACGCCACTATGTGTATTTAATAGAACCATCTATAACAAATAATCCTTTATATTGAGAATTTATGTGACCATTTTTATACCCTCCACCATACATAGTATGGAGGGTATATTAAATTCGTTTTTTGCGTTTGTAACTTATTTTTGATCAGCGTAAAATTCTAAGACGTCCGTCCATCTGTTCATCTTCGGTATTTCGATGATTATAGCTACATTTTTCACTGGAGTTTTCTGAACCTTTTTACAAGGAGTTCTTTGTGAGTACTTGTACTGGAAGGGGGGATATCTACGATATCGTATATTCCCCATATAACTGTACCCCTGATATTCGGTTTTTTAGATTTTTTATAAAACCACCAATTTATCGAAAAAGGTCCCATTGAAGGAGGCCAATAAAATAAATACCAAATTATATCTTACACTCTACACTTTCCAAATCTTTCCTGGATCCAGATATATTCCGTAGCTTGAAATTTCCTGCTCTAGGAGAAGTTTTCCTAAATTCAACTATAATTTGGTATATATTTCGTGGAAACCCAAAAAAGGACTTTTTCGATTTTAAAATTTTTATAGCCTCTACCTTGAAGGGGATTTTTAGACAAATTCGTGAAAAAATGTGGCAAAAATCAGACAGACGGACATCGTGAAATCGACTTAGAATTTTATGCTAATTATGAGTATATATATTTATAAAGTATATATTTGGGATGTTACAAACGGAATGACAAAGTTAATATACTCCTCCTTTTCAAGGTGGGGGGTATAATAATCTGATAATATCCGTTAACGTTATCAGCATCAATGAATTGAGCATATATTCGTGACTTCGGGGTTCAACGGAAATTTAGTTTTTCATTTTATCCCTTAAATATTTTGAGATCATCTCCATTCTATTATGACAAAAGCTCTAACCGCATGTACATTTCGGAAATGCATAGATAGACCGACTCAGTCGAAATATGAAGTTAGATGTAAAACATAGTGGGTCTTGAACCACCATTTCGAATGTTTGGCCAAATCAAATAAGATAATACACTCTGCAAATAGTGTTTTGAGTGCTTAAAAATACTCACCGCAGCAATTGGACATTTCCTGGGTATATTGCTGACACGGAATATTTCTCGAAAAATAACCTTTAGCAAATTCATTTTATCGTGGGAACTCTTCAGGGCATCACAACCATGGGTGTCCATTTTAAACACATTCATGTAGCGATTATCTTTCCTTATCATATCGACAGATGCCTTGAGGCCGAAATCATTAAGGCTTCTGGTTAATATAAAATCGAGATAGATTATTTTCGTACCATAAAGGTGGTAATTGGCCGATTTTACTAGAGTCCGATCTGCAACACTTATGTTCAGAGTATATAGATCTATTGTAAAATCTCGCTGTAAAGAAAGGCAGGTTATTACATGAAAATTGAATTTAAGTTCGGTTATATTACCTTAGCTTCTAGCAGGAGGAGACATGGACAAAGAACGAGTAATGTACAAAAAGCATTGGGCGAATACATATCAGAAGAGTGAACTGATTCTGATAGTTCTGAACCAACAACACAAAGTAAATGTTAGTTTTGAAACAAACGAATCATGAAAAAAATTGTTGTCGTTTGGGTACTTTTATAATTTGAACTAAATAAGTAATCGCCTTTTAATAATCGATTTAAATGACACATGAAAAAATATAAATTTATACCCTCAGACGCACGGCTATAGATGTTATATATAATTTTCATTTATTTTCGTTAATTTATTCAGTTGTGATAAAGCGGATTTATTAGTTTGTAAAAGTTAAGTTATTAAAGCTATTAATGGTAAAATTATTTTCAGGCCAAACCACAATTCAAACTCTAAAAAACTCGACATACTATGATTTCAGTTTCAATAGCAGTATGTGTGGTAAACATATTCATACGTATTTATGAACAACTGATTGTAATTTTAAGATATTGGAAAACACCGAACTAAACTCAGCATGTATTGACGCATTAGTCAGTAGAATAAACAAAATTGAGTAACAAAAGTACCATAAAATATTGGTAAAATATGATATTTTTGACCAAACATTGTTATACCCTCCACCTATGGAGGGTATATTAACTTTGTCATTCCGTTTGTAACTCTATTTTAAATTTGGTGTTTAAAGTTCGTAATGAATATTACAGCCTAAGGCAGAAAATTGTCTGTGCAGGTCCACGTTTTCGTATAGCCCCCATATAACGGTACCACCCGATATTCGGTATTTTGATGATTTTGGCGACATTATTCACCGGAATTGTTTAGAATTTGCTATTTGAAGTTCGTAATGGATACTACAGCCTAAGACAGAAAACTGTCTGTGCAGGTCAACGTCTTCGTATGGCCCCATAAAAAGGAACCTCCCTATATTCGGTATTTTGATGATTTTAGCGACATTATTTACCGGAATTGTTTCAAATTTAGTATTTGAAGTTCGCAATGAATGCTAAATCCTAAGACCGAAAATTGTTTGTGTGCCTTCGTATAGCCTCCATATAATGGTACCTTCCGATAATCGGTATTTTGATGATATTAGCGACATTATTTACCGGAATTATTTAAAATTTTGTAATTGAAGTTCGTAATGGATACTACAGCCTATGACAGAAAATTGTCTGGGCAGGTCCATTCATAACCCCCATGGTACCTCCCTATATTCGGTATTTTGATGATTTTAGCTACATTATAAACAGTTTTTTTTCAAGTTTCGCATTTGAATATTGTAATAGCTTGTGACAAAAGTTGCCTATGCAGGTTTAAGTCGTCGCATAGACCCTAATATACGGCTACATTCGGTATTTTTAAGATTTTAACAGAATTTTTAGAGGATTTTATTTTTTTGAAAATTGTTAAATTTGTACCAAATGGTGGAGGGTATTCAAAGTTCGGCTCGGCCGAACTTACCGCTTTTTTACTTTTTATACCCTACACCACTAGGTGGTCAGGGTATTATGTCTTTGTGCATTTGTTTGTAACAGGCAAAAGGAAACGAGATAGACCCATACTTCCTTTTGATGATCTGCATAGAATCACATACTGAGTCGATTTATGCATGTCCGTCTGTCCGTCCGTCCGTCTGTCCATGTATTTTTGTAAACAAAGTACAGTTCGCATTTATTGACCTATCCAGATGAAATTTTGCACAAATCATTTGTTTGGCCCAAGGACGAACCCTATTGAAATTGGAGATAATCGGTTAAAATTTAGATATAGCTCCCATATATATCTTCGTCCGATTTCCTTTTTATTGTGCACCAAACGTGTAATATCAGTCCGAATAGTATGGAATTTTGCACATACGATCAGATTAGACCTCAAAATAAGTATGCCAAATTTGATCGAAATCGGTTCAGATATAGCTATAGCTCCCATATATATTGTTCATCTGATTTGTTAGTTTTGTCCTCCGCAGCCGTAATATGCACTCTGTAACAACAATATTTGGGGAAATATATCAAATACAGCTCAGAAATACATTTGCTAAATTTTATCGAGATCGGTTCAGATTTCGATATAGCTCCCATATATAACTTCGTCCGATTTACCTTTTATTGTGCACCGAACGTCTCCAAATGGGGTGAAATTTGGCACTTATGACCGAGTCGGCCCCGCCCGACTTTAAGACTTTCTTTACTGGTTTTTTCTAAATTTCCCATTTTAATATTGTAGTGGCTTATGAAAAAAATTACCTATGCAGGACCATGTCGTCGTATTGATAACGGCTACATTCGTTATTTCTAAGATTTTAACGGATTTTATTGTATTATTGAGAATTGCCAAATTCTTCCAAATGGTGGAGGGTATTCAAAGTTCGGCCCGGCCGAACTTACAGCTTTTTTACTTTTTAATAGCTCAAAATTTCAAATCAATGTTTGTGAAGTCTGCCATATTTTCCTTCAAATTTGCTCAAAATTATTTAACATTGTCCAAACCGGATGGACAATTTTTATGAATGCGCAAACAAAACATGATAATTTTATACCTTCCACCATAATATAGAGGATACATTAAAGTTGTCATTCCGTTTGTAACACCTCTAAATATTTGTCGTAGACCCCATGAAGTATATATATTCAGGATCAGCATACAATTCAAAGTCCAATTGAAGATGTCCTTCTGGCTGTCCCTCTGTCTGTGGTACAGCCCACATTTATTCTCGTAAAGCTTTGAAATTTGGCACAATAGTTTTTATTGTGTCTAGGATAGTTGGTATTGAAATTAAGATATATCGCTCCACGTTTTGATTTAGCCCCCAAATAATAATGTTATAGTTAATTATAAGTTATTTTGAATTTTTCTACTTGTTATTGAGTACCTTATTAATACAATTAATTGGCCTTGGAGGTTTTAGTATTAAGTATGAGTTGAATAAAGAAAGAAAGAAAGAAATGTCGAATATCGGGAGGTACCGTTATATGGTCGCTATACAAGGACGAGGACCTTCATAAGTAATTTTTATACTCTCCACATTAGAAAGGAGGGTATATTAACTTCTCATTTACACTGTATTCTTCTACGATTTTTGTTTTGTTATTTGATATACTACATTGTTATTTGATACTTGTTATTTGATATACTACATTGAAAAGGAGGGTATATTAATTTTGTTTTTCCGTTTGTAATATCGCTTAACATTAGTCGTAGAACTCATAAGGAATATATATTCATGATCAGCATAAAATTCTAAGTTGATTTAACAATGTCCGACTCTTCGTCTGTCTGCCTGTTGAAATCACGATACAGGCCACATGATACGATTTCACTATACAGTGTTCATTTTAACGGTATTTTTCTACGATTTTTTTTTTAATTTTTCTGTTTAATTCCAAATGATAGAGGATAGTGAAAGTTCCGCCCGACTGACCGGCGTTTTTAATTGTTATTTGATATACCACATCGAAAAGGAGGGTATATCAATTTTTTCTTTCCGTTTGTAATGTCCCTAAGCATTGTCGTAGAACTCATGAAGAATATACATAAAAATTCTAAGTTGATTTAAAAATTTTCGTCCCTTTATTTGTCTACCTGTTATTTTACGTAGAGCTTTAATTTGACACAATCTTTGTATCGTGTCTTGGATGGTTGGTATTGAAAATGAGATATATCGGTCCACACATATATAGCACACATTTAACGGAATTTCCCTATATTCGGTATTTTGATGGTTTCTGCAACATTTTCGCATTTTCGTGACCTCAAATCGTAGAAGTTAATTCTTTGACACCCACTGTTCACAGTGCCGAAGACACGACGGAAGACCTAGTTCATTTGATAGAAGATCAATAAACACATTGAAAGATGTAATAATTATTAGGAAAACATCAGAATTTCACATGAGTTCACTATAATATTCCCTTCTTAACATCGAAATTCCGTCAAATAATCTAATTTTTATGCATCAGATCTGAAGGACATATTTGGTATTTTAAGTGCTTTAGCCACATTTTTCCACAGAATTGTTTCAAGTTTTACTACTAAGAGTATGTAATGTAATATGTAATTTTACCTCTGGTAGTAGAACATTGTAACTATATAGGTTCACTATAGCCTCCATACAACAGGACCTCTCCATATTAGTTGACCGGCTTCAAACTCGCCCATAATTTGTACTAGGATGCCAGCCAATGACTTACGTTCGAATTTCCAAACTAGAATTTCCTGTAACTAGAATTGTTGCCTTGAGAATGTAACCATTTACAGATACCTCCAGAAGGGGAACGATATAAGCAATTTTTCTGCCAATTTTTGGGACACTGATGCATATATTTTTTGATATGCAGTGGAAATTGAGATTTATTTTCCCTGATGAATTATAGTGCAATTTCATAAAGAATACTAGCGGAACCCGACACGCTTCGCTACACCTTTCGCTTTTATATGCATTCTAAATTTTATATATGAATATTTGTTGATTAAAAATATGAATAAAACAAATTCAAAAATTTTAAAAACGTTATTATTGTAACACTTTAATGCGTAAACAAACAAATAGCTCGGTCTTCCAACGCGTGAACATGCCAGGAATAGCTGACCATGAGAAAAGCAGGAACATGCCAAATTTAGTCCGCATACACGAAGCGGTTGTCCTTCGGATTTATTAATTTCATAGCAAATGCCAAGCGTGCAGGAAACTGCTATCTTTTGAAGTTGAAAGGCATTTCTGTTGCAATTTCAGTAAAATTCATACCCTCAATTAAATTTTTGTGTAGTTTTTATAATCTCCACCATAGTATGGAGGGTATATTAAGTTTGCGTACTAATGATTTGAAAGAAAATTCCTTATGAAGTTAAATGTCTTCGTATAGCCCTAATATTACGGTACCTTCCTATATTCGGTATTTGGATAATTCTAGCGACATAATTCACCGGAATTGCATCAACTTTTGTATTTAAGGTTCCTAATGGGTACCATGGCCTATGACAGAAAATTGCATATGTAGGTCCAGGTCTTCATATAGCCCCCATATAACGGTACCTACCTATATTCGGCATGTTGATGATGTTGAATTTCATATTTGAATATCGTAATGGCCGATGACCAGAATTTCATATGCAGGTCCACGTTTTCGTATAGGACTAAATATGACTCCTAATATTCGGTATTTTTGCTGGAGGGTATTCAAAGTTCGGTCCGGCCTAACTTAACCTTTTCTTATTATACCCTCCACCATAGTATGGAATGTATATTAAGTTTATCATTCCGTTTGTAACACCTCGAAATATACATTTTAGACCCCACAAAGTATATATATTCTTGATCAGCATAAAATTTTATGTCCATTTAGCGATGTCCGTCCGAACGTCTGTCCGTCTGTGGAAATCACTCTAGCTTCCGAACGAAATGAAGTAGGTTCATAAAATTTTATTCAAATGTATATTATGTCTACAGAACTTTTGGTATTGAAAATGGGTCATGTAGGTCCACGCTTTGGTATGGCCTCCATATAACGGTACCTCCTGATATTCGGTATTTTGATGATCTTAGCTACATTATTGGCCGGAATGGTTTCAAATTTGGTATTTGAAGTTGGTAATGGATACTACAGGTCTGTCTGTGCAGGTCCACGTCTTCGTATAGCCCCCATATAACGGTACCTCCTGATATTCGGTATTTTGATGATTTTAGCGGAATTCTTTCGATTTTGGTATTTGAAGTTCATAATGAATACTACAGTCTATGACAGAAAATTTTCAGTGCAGGTCGACGTCTTCATATAGCCCTCATATAACGGTACCTTCCGATATTCGGTATTTTGATGATTTTAGCGACATAATTCACCGGAATTGTTTCAAATTTGGTATTTGAAGCAGCCTATGATAGAAAATTGTCTGTGAAGGTCCTCGTTTTGGTATGGCCCCATATAATGGTACCTCCCTATATTTGGTATTTTGATAATTTAGCTACATTATTCACCGAGTTTTTTTCGCATTTGAATAAAGTAATGGCTTATGACAAAAATTGCCTCGACAGGCCCACGTCGTCATATAGACCCTAATATAACGGCTACATTCGGTATTTTTAAAATTTTACCAGAATTTTTAACGGATTTTATTATTATTTTTTTTTTAATTGCCAAATTTGTTAGAAATTGTGGAGGGTATTCAAAGTTTGGGGCGGCCGAACTTACAGTTTTTTACTTGTTTTTGTTTAGGTGAGATTTAGACTTTTGACGAATTTTATTACAAAAAAATGTTATAGAAAATTTCGACTTGGTACGATCCCGACCACTTTCAGAAAACGACCACTTTGTTATCAGTGCAATATTATTTAATATTCCTCGAATACTAAAATTAACGGATTGCAAGAAATCTTAATCCGAAAATTTCAAAAAAATGTGTAAGAGGGGGAACTTGTCCTCTCTATTACGGCATATGTGAAATTAATAACATAAAGTTAGATAATTACTCAGGAGATGCTGGGAAGCTGTATGAGCCAGGAACCCATTAAAAGTTAATGTAAAGAAATTACATTCTGCAATTAGGATGGAAATGATAAGTTATTTTTTTAAAATATTACACAAGGACATATTTTTCTTATTGCTAAGAAATTAGTCATCAAAAACACGAAGCTTGTGAGTTCTAGACTTGATATTGGTAAACAAAAAAAAATAGGAATTTAAACAATGTTTAATGGTTGCAAAAGCAGCACAGTGTGTAGTATAGATTGTAGGTTGAGAGTAAAATACCAGCAGCGGAAAAATAAAAATACCAGCAGCGGAAAAATAAAAAATAGAAAAGTGGATTCTAAAAAAATTGTTTGGGAAACGTCAATTGACGTTTTTGATGGGTATCTTACTCACCTGCATAGTCTGGTCTTACCTGTGTTTTACAAAAAAAATGTAATATGAATGGATCTTTATTGTTTGAGAAGTGCCTATGTCGTAAATGGTAAAGCAAAACTGTGATGCTTTACAGATAATGTATCTTTTAATGGTAATAATTAGTAACATTATGTTGTTGTGACTAATACAACTGCTGTTTACAATTTCACTATTTACGAATACGTCCTTTTATAACCGCTGTAGCTATCGCATCTTTATCAACAATAATATCAATTTTTATTCGGAATTCAAGACTAGGAAATATCGGTGGAAAGTCATCATCATTTACGGTGTAATTGTTTATAAAGTACTTCTTGTTCTGAAAGTAAAATAGAAAAAAAAAAATATTAGTTTGAAAATTTGCTCAAATTGTTAAATTTTTTGCGTTTCGTTAAATATTATAAACTTTAAATAATAAACTTTAATCAATAAACAATATTTATAACATTATATGATGAAAGTATATATACAACCATGATAAAATAATTACTGGGTAGACACAGCATTCGTTTTGTATGGGACCTTTGTTTTTTCTGAATTTGTGTATCAATAACTTTTGTTATTTTTGTGTGAGGACCGCCAGAATTTTTAAGATCTGTGTAGTTGGACCCATTTTACATTTTATTTAAGGTTATTGCAAATTATGAACTTTTGTGTGTTATTTTATATATTTACATCCGACCGGATATATAAGGATGTATTGTGGGTGAGATCCAGTCGGAGCGAATGGATATAGCTCACATTCGAACTCGTTCTATGTTGGATAAAATTATTATGGTGTATACATGGTGAGATGAGAAAACTGCAACCAACTTCAGGCTGCTGTTATTTCTAAGCCATTCGTCTGACAGCTGTTAAAATTATTCCAGTGACAGCTCATTATACTGTTTGCAAGAGAACAAAAGCATTTTGGTGAGAATTTTCCAGAAAAAAAGTTATTCGTGATGGAATTCAAGCGTGATAGTGTGATTTCTTTATATTTGGCTGGAAAACCGCAAGTGGCTATCGTTAGAGCACTCCAGCATTTAAATGTGAATAAATCTTTTGTGTCTCGTACCATTGCTCGTTACCGTGATACTAGTAGCGTAGCTCGACCGACGTCAAGGAAGTGGACGGAAGAAAACAGCAACATCAGCACAAGTTGTTCGAAAAGTAAAGAAGCGACTTGATGGAAACCAGCGTCGCAGTGGCCGAAATATGGCTCGTGAGCTGAACATATGGTAATATTCCATTCGGCAAATATTGAAAAATAAGCTCGGGGTAAATCCATTGAAATTCCAAAAAGTGCATAAACTTACATCGCAACAAAAAGAGCTAAAGTGTTGCTTCGCTTGACCGAAAGTGGGGAACTGCCGAATTTGGTTTTCTCCGATGAGAAAACATTCGTTGTCCAGCAGTTTGTAAGCAAACAGAATGATCATGTTTACTTGCCAAAGAGGTCAGCTGAAAATGTGCACTTCGGTTGGCAACCAAAACTCAAGCGCCGGCCATGGTGATAATGTGGGCCGCTATAACAGCCGATGGTCGCTCTATGCTCGTATTAATCGATCGTGGCATCACAATAAATGTCGAATATTATCGCGAAAATACTCTGGAGTGTGTATTAAAGACTTGGACACCCAAACATTTTGGCCGCAAACCTTGGACACTCCAACAGGACTCAACACGCGCCACCAAAGAATGGAATGGCACAATGGCCACCAAAATCTGGATACAAATCCGTTGGACTATTGTGTCTGGAGTATTTTGGAAAGCAAGATTGTCACTAAAAAGTACCAAAGTGTCGATCACCTAAAGCAAGCGCTTTGCCGGGAATGGGCCAAAATACCGCGGAGCAACTTTCGGGCAGCGTTTGGCGGTTTCATTGGCCGTTTGAAGGCCATAATTCATGCCAAAGGTGACCTATTCGAACAAATCTAAACTTATTCTAAAATTTGATGATATTTCTGACATTTTTTGCTTTCGTTCAATAAATTTTAAAGAAAAAATGTAAACAAATATGGCGTTTGACTTTGTTGCAGTTTTTTTATCTCACCATGTATACGTCCAAATTTTTGAAGTAGTCCCCATATAACTGTACCTCCTGATATTCGGTATTGTCCTTTCAATGGAATCTTCTCTGGCATATAATTGGATGTAGAGGTCCACGTTTTCGTATAACCCCACATAACAGTTACACACGATATTCGGGTTGTTTTGTAAGTAGATACGATTGCTACGATCTCTACCATCTTTGTAACAGGTCTTGTGTTGATGGAAATATTGAGATGTACCAAGTCTGAACGGAATCGGATATTGATTTCGCGCTTTATGAGATCCATGGATATTAAAAATGTTTACCCTTTGAGAAGGAAGTACCGGATATATCCCATCTTCTCAGCAGATCTTGTGTTAGTAGAAATAATGGGATGTGCGAATCATAAAGTGAACCTGATGCTTTTTCGGATTTTACGTTCGCTTTGGCAATTCAATACTTTGACCATTTGTGGGAGAGGTACCAGAAGGAATGGTCCGATCTCTATTATCTTTATAACAGACTTTGTGTTAATAGAAATATTGAGATGTACCAAGTCTGAATGGAATCGGATATTAATTTTTAATAATATGTATGAAGTTAATGGATATTCAAAATTTTGTGCTGGCGGTACCACACCAGATATTGGGTTTATAAAAATATTGTAATTTATGAGCTTCATGAACATTCAAAATTTTTACCCTTTGTGGGGGAGGTACGTGATGGAGAGGACCGATATTGTTCATTTTCGCATTTGACCTAGCACTGACGCAAATATTAGGTTTTGCAAAGTTGGAGCAAAATCGGATTATCCCTTCTCTTTCTGTGCTGTAAAATATTTCCTTTGAAAATTTTGACCCTTGGTGGGGGAGGTACCTAAAGGAGTGGACGGATATTGCCAAGTTTAGACCAAATCGGATACTCCTTTCGAGAGTTATCATGCGCACCAGCTAGCCAGACAGGCGGACGGACATCGCTAGATCGACTCTAAATGTCCTGTAACGGATTTGGTCCAAAGAGACCTAGGGTCTAAAACCGTTATTTCGATGAAGATCTTTTTGACCGCATCAAATGATATATACCCTCTCTAGCTATATAGCTGTGGTAATAACTAGGCATATGGTTGGGGGTATAAAATATCTGGATCGAATATTTATTCACCAAGAGTAACCGATCGAGAGAGGTCTTGATAATGCGATCTGCAATTCCTACATTAAAAATACTCACCGCAAGAATTGGACATTTCCTAGGTATATTGCTGACACGGAATATTTCTCGAAATATAACCTTTAGCAAATTCATTTTATCGTGGGAACTCTTCAGGGCATCACAACCACGGGTGTCCACTTTGAAAACATTCATGTTTCGATTGTCTTTCCTAATCATATCCACAGATGCTTTAAGGCCGAAATCATAAAGGTTTCTGGATAATGTAAAATCGACATAGATTATTTTCGTACCATGAAGATGGTAAGTGACCGATTTTACTAGAGTCCGATTGAAAACATCTATGTGCAGATGATGCAATTCTATGGTAAAATCTCGCTGTAAGGAGAAGCAGTTTATTAAACGAAAATTGAATTTAATGTCGCTCACATTTAAATGGCACGTGGAAAAATATATTTATACACAGAGCCTAGCCACACGGTTGGATATATTTTCATTTTGATATCTATTTCGCTCACCCATTGGCAGTTGTGATGAAACGGCACTATTAGGCGCATTAGTGAAATAATTTAGCTATTAAAGGTTAAATTATTTTGGGGCAAAACTAATGTTCAACAACTTTTAAACTCGACAGAAACTCGTTCATCGTGACATATATACGCATTTATGTATAACTGATTTTACGATATGAAAAAACGAAAATAAACTCATTATGCTAATTACGTACAAACATAATTGTGATTTTTTATGGCCACAACGTTTTAATATTCGGGTTAGGCTTTTTCATTGCTCAAAATGCACAATTTGTTCAGTTTGATAATTTTTTTTTTTCAAAACTTCGTACATCGTACTAAATTTTCAGACTTTCAAGGTTTTGTATGTTATTGAAGTTTTTCCACTTTCGGAAAAAATAATAGGGAAATATTTATTTTTAAACCAAAAAGTCTTCAACATCGTTCATTTTGTAGTTAACGGAGGAGCATTGCACAATGGTCCCACATGCAATTTTTCAGTCCAACTATTTCACCGTCTTAATATGTAAACCCTTGAAGCCAACAGTGACCACAAAATCAAATTTCAGAATTTCAGCTCTATCCCTTCACCCTTCACCCAATACCAAATTTAAATTTCTCCATAATAGACACCAACAGTTATCTAACAATTTAGTACTTTTTGAACAATTATAGTTCGAATTTGCAAAACCACCACCAGATACCAACATAGACCAGAACATCAAATTTCAGGATTTTAGTACTATACATTCAATTAATACCAAATTTTGTAGCATTTAGGATTTTGGAACAATTATAGTTCACATTTCCAAAGACACCACCATATCTCAATCCCAGATACCAACAGAGACCTCAATATCAAATATTGGGATTGCAGCTCTATCACTTCACCATATATCCAATTAGTTTAGTACTACTTACTACTTTTCGCACAATTATAGTACGCACTTCTAAATCTACCACCATATCTCAATCCCAGATACCAACACCAACCTCAATATTAAATTTCAGGATTCCAGCCCTCAATACCAAATTTAGTAACATTTAGTACCTTCGTACAAATATAGGTCGCATGTCCACCTAATCTGAAACATAGATACCACCAGTAATATAAATATCAAATTTCCAAATTGTATCTCCATCCTTCACCCAATACCTATACCAAAATTCAATACTTTTAGTACAATTATGGTACACATTTCCGAAACCACCTTCATATATGCAGGCTACATATTAAGAGCGACCCAAATACCAAATTTCAGATTTCAAGGACTATCTGTTCATCCAATGCAAAATTGTACCAATTATATTACTATTTAGTACTTTTCGTACACTTGTACTACACATTTTCAAAACTACCACCATATCTCAATCACAGATACCAACACCAACCTAAATATTAAATTTCGTGATCCCAGCCCTCAATACCTAATTTAGTAACATTTAGTACTTTTCGTACCAACATAGGACGCATTTCCAAATAACAGCTAAATTCCAAACAAAGATATAATCTGTAATTTAAATTCAAGAATATCAGCTTTATCCCTTTACCAAATAACAAACATAGTACAATTCAGTACTTTTTATACGATTATAGTACACATTTTTAAAACCACTTCCAAATTTTAACCACTGACACCAACAGTGACGTATATATCAATTTTCAGGATTTCAGCTCTATTCTTTCATCTAATGACATCATAGTGCTATTTAGTACTTTTCGTGTACATTTCCAAAACCACCTCTTTATCACTAACCTACTACCAACAGGTATTGTAATACATAATTTCAAAATTTAAGCTTTATCCGTTCACCCTAAACCAAACTGTTACAATTTAGTACCATTTAGTACAGTTCGGACTTTGTACATGTTTCAAAAACTACCTTCATACATCAAACTTACTTTGCAAACTTGATTCTCATATCAAATTTTAAGGTTTTAGCTCTATTCGTTCACATAATACCAGATGGTACCATTGTAGAAGTTTTGTACCATTTTAAAACTCATCGTAACTTAAAAGTTCGAAATTCTAAAAATCCTTGGGTGCATCTATTCTGCACTCCATCAGTGACTTGCATTCCAAATTTCAGAATTCTAGCTTATTCCATTTGTCCAATACAAAAAAATTTCAGGACATTTTAGTACTTCTCGTACTATCCCCAAAAAAGAAGCCCTACAATATTCCTACGCGCCAAGACTGACCTCTCAATTCCTAAACATATGGTATGAAATTCTGAAAGCTCCACTTTATCTCAACTCAAAACTCAACTCGGGCGGGGCCGATTTTAAGATATTTCTGAGCTGTATTTAATATATTCCCTGAATATCGTTGTTACGGAGTGCATACAGGGTTGCCCATATTCGACGGACCTTTGGGCCCTTTGGGCCCATTCCAATCGACGAGGCTTGACCGCAGGCAACATTCTTTGCGTCAATTGAATTTTGTACGGCAACAAATGCAAATCAATGCGAATAATCCGTTGTAAAGTGGACCGAGCCATGCCCAACTGCTGAGAACGGCGTTTTGGGATGTTCTTGGGGACCTCTCAACACTGGCTCGTACAGCAACGATATTCTCGGCCGATCGCCTTGGTCGACTTTTATATGGCCTCTTCGGATTAGAAAGAGCCTTACCAGTCGAAAATTTTTCGTATAAACGCTTAATGGTGTTCTTAGAAGGCGCACTTCTCACATTTTTTAATGTTTTAAAATCACGTTGAGTTTTCACAATTGACTTCTTGCAAATTTCAACTATTTCAGAGCGCTCGCGTGGCATGTATTGGTTCATGATAAAAATCTGCTTGGACTGACGCTTCAAACGCGGTATGTCATTGAGCGATGTGACATCTCTGTCAAAAGTTATGGCGTTGCCAGATGGGTCCGTCGAATATGGGCAACCCGTATTACGGCTGTGGGTAACAAATATAACAAATCGGATGAACAGTATATATGGGAGCTATAGCTATATTTGAAGCGATCCTTACTAAATTTGACATACTAGCTTCTAGACTCAATTCGGTCGTAGGCGCCAAATTCCATCTCATTTGGATAAATATTAGACGTTTGGTGCACAATAAAAAGTAAATCGGACGAAGTTATATATGGAAGCTATATCCAAATCTGAACCGATGAAATTTAGCAAATGTATTTCTTTGCTGCATTTGATATATTTCTCCAAATATTGTTGTCCAAATATTGTAACAAATCGAATAAGCAATATATATGGGAGCTATAGCTATATCTGAACCGATTTCGATAAAATTTGGCATACTTATTTTCAGGACTAATTTGGTTGTATGTGCAAAATTCCATACTATTCGGGCTGATATTACACGTTTTGTGCACAATAAAAGTCAAATCGGACGAAGATATATATGGGAGCTATATCTAAATTTTGACCGATTATATCCAATTTCAATAGGGTTCGTCCTTGGGCCAAACAAATGATTTGTGCAAAATTTCATCTGGATAGGGTAATAAATGCGAACTGTACTTTGTTTACAAAAATACATGGACAGACGGACGGACATGCATAAATCGACTCAGAATGTGATTCTATGCAGATCATCAAAAGGAACTATGGGTCTATCTCGTTTCCTTTTGCCTGTTACAAACAAATGCACAAAGACATAATACCCTGACCACCTTGTGGTGTAGGGTATAAAAATGTACGCTCTACTGGTTCACCTGATAACAACAATATTTAGTTCAGTTTTTTACTTTTCGAACGCTCGACTCAAAACCGATTTAAAGAGCCATTCGTTCATTGCATTTAATACTTTTTGTGTCCTGATAACTTGAATTCTAGAGGACATTTTTTGGACCATTAGGTCTACCATTAACAAAGTACCCTACCAAAATTCAGGGCCGAAAACCAAAGTTTAGTTGCCTTTTGTAACAATCCCTTTTATTTGCACAATCACAATATTAGCATTTTTTTATCATTTTGGACCACATTTTTATACCCTACACCACATAGTGGTAAGGGTATTATGTCTTTGTGCATTTGTTTGTAACAGGCAAAAGGAAACGAGATAGACCCATAGTTCCTTTTGATGATCTGCATAGAATCACATTCTAAGTCGATTTATGCATGTCCGTCCGTCCGTCCGTCTGTCCGTCCGTCTGTCCGTCTGTCCATGTATTTTTGTAAACAAAGTACAGTTCGCATTTATTGCCCTATCCAGATGAAATTTTGTACAAATCATTTGTTTGGCCCAAGGACGAACCCTATTGAAATTGGAGATAATCGGTCAAAATTTAGATATAGCTCCCATATATATCTCCGTCCGATTTGCCTTTAATTAGCCACCAAACGTGTAATATCAGCCCGAATAGTATGGAATTTTGCACATACAACCAAATTAGGCTTAAAAATAAGTATGCCAAATTTGATCGGAATCGGTTCAGATATAGGTATAGCACCCATATATATTGTTCATCCGATTTGTTATTTTTGTCCCCCCGCAGACGTAATATGCACTCTGTAACAACAATATTTGGGGAAATATATTAGATACAGCTCAGAAATACATTTGCTAAATTTTATCGAGATCGGTTCAGATTTGGATATAGCTCCCATATATAACTTCGTTCGATTTACCTTTTATTGTGCACGAAACGTCTGATATTGGGATGAAATGGGATGGAAATTTATGAGAGAATTCTCTCATAAAAACTTTTTATTGTTACGCGGAGCTCTACTAAATTAGCAAAGTGGTGTAGGGTATCATAAAGTTGGCCCCGCCCGACTTTAAGACCTTCTTTACTGGTTTTAATTCTGTTTGTATATCTTGTTCTTTTATTTAACATTGAGAATCTACATCTCTATATGACAATGTTACAATATTTAGTACTTT